GTGAGTAAACGACGAATTCGCTCGCCGGACAGTCAGTCGTTGCTGAGGATTCCTAGCCTCAAGTCGTGAGCTAGAACTCATAACCAAAAATCGTAGCGTATCAATCCTCGTCTAAAGACAGCACGGCTCTCTCCCTCTCAAATCGCTACGTGAATCGCTACTCGTTCGTTTCGTCTTAACGTGCGGATCAAAGTTATTTATAATTAAGTGTGCTACTTAGCGAGGGGTCCGAAAACTTCCGGTCGTGCTCCGCTCGCGATCGTTCTTCTGCCGCGCGTTCAAGATTTCCGTTCGACGCGTACAAGATCTCCGCTACGCGAGAGGCTTCGATGCAGGAAGCTGAGACAAGATTTCCGTTCGCGATATCTGGCAGAAAAGTACGAACGACTCAGAAGATTTCCGAATCCGCGGCGCACGATCCGTTGTTCCCCCTCGCGTCTTTTTCGTTCTTGAAATAAAGACTATATATTTCTTTGTGCAATCTGTGTTCCGAGTGCTTTCATCCTCCTTCCTCCCGCGAATTTACGACTCGCGGTATCCACGCTTCTCGCTCAACTCTGAGCGGAATCCAGATTCAGGGCGACCGTCGTAAAACGACGCCCGAACATCTTTGGTTTCTCTTCTACCCCTATTTCATATATAATTCTTCTAAATTTGGTTGATTAGAGCCAATTTTATACGCAATCAAAGGTTCATATACGAATTTACGAAAACAAAGCTTCCTCTATGAGGAAGCAAAATAAGGCAATACCAGGAATCAAAATTAAGAATAAAAATTTATATATAACGGACTGGTATTGCATCTATTGCAATGAAAAATTCGTTCATCCACCTGTCGAAGATTGGATTCAGTGCAACAAATGTGAAGAGTGGTACCACGAGCACTGTGCAAATAGAAAAAGTAAAAAAAGAACATTTATTTGCGAATTCTGCGTTAAATAAATTATTCTTTTCTATTCTAAGTTATTTATTTCAAAGAGTTAGTTTTTTTTATTTTTAAGTATTAATTTATTTCAAAGTAATTTATTTCTTGCAAAAAATATATTTAAAAGAATTTATTGATTTATTTTTATTTTTTTAAGACCTAAACTAGTGATCCGATTCGCCCCTAATTTCGGGGCGAATCGGATAATTCTTTTCTTTCTATTTTTTATTGTGCAATAAAAAATACTATGTTTATGTATTATTTTATTATATGAAATTCAAGCCAAAGTTCCAAAGATAAAGATTAAGATTCTATAATAAAATTAAATAACAAAATTTGTTTTTGACTACTTTTTTACCGAGAAAGAAAAATTGATCCAATTCGCCCTGGTCTACCCTATGTATAATCGCTTGTATAATTATAAGCACTAAAAACGAGCTTTGTTTGCTAGCCTTTTATAAAATTGTTTATAAAATATAAAATATCTCGTAAAGTATTCACTTTTCGATGAGTTTACCTTGATATCTTTATACGAAGAATGAAGGAATAATAATATTAATTTTTACATTTGCAATTTTGTAAAATTAAATGCGTTTACAAAAGGCAATTAAATGTTTAAAATAATTTTTTTCTGTTTTTTTATAACAATCGATTTCTTTCATTATTCTACATACAAAAGTAAAAAACTAAAGTTATCAAAAAGTGAATACTTTACAAGATTTTTCATATTTTAGATTAAAAATGACCTATGTGTAAAGCTAGCACCCCCACCACTAAAAAAAAAGTTTGGACTTATGGCATAATTAAGTGCTAATTATGTGCTAATTTATTGCTCTAATCACGAATTTTGTGCTCCTACCAGTTCGTAGGAAATAAATAGCAAAAGTAGAGGTGCTGGCTTATTCACGTGAAGCTAGCACCCCCACTCCTGAAAAACAAGTATAGAGTACCATAAACAAAAAAAATCAATACACCAGAATTTTGTGCTAATTTTGTGCTTTCAAAATATCCCAATCCGGAATTTGGTGCTTGTTATTTAACATAAGAAAATTCATAAAGAGTGTGGCCATGACAAGAGTAAAATACATTAACGCAATTAGTTGCCGGGTCAAATTAGGTCTTAAAATAACACTAAAATTATGTGCTTGTAAAGTACGTAAATCCGAAATTTGGTGTTTGTTATTTAACTTAATAAAATCCATGAAAATAGTGGGAGTGCTAGCTTTACGACAAGAGTGAAGTGTATTAAACAAATTAGTTACCAGGTCAACTTTGATACTAAAATAATGCTAAAATTATGTGCTTTTAAAATATGTAAATCCGAAATTTGGTGTTCCTTGTTTAACTTAAGAAAATCCATAAAGAATGTGGTTACGCCAAGAGTGAAGTACATTAACGCATTTATATAGTTGCCGGGTCGAATTTGGTCTTAAAATAACACTAAAATTATGTGCTTTTAAAATATGCAAATCCGAAATTTGGTGCTCGTTGTTTAACTTAAGAAAATCCTTGAAGAGTGCGTGGTCACGCCAAGAGTAAAATACATTAAAGCAATAAGTTATCAGGTCGACTTTGATACTAAAATAATGCTAAAATTATGTGCTTTTAAAATATGCAAATCCGGAATTTGGTGTTCATTGTTTAACTTAATAAAATAAAGTGTGGTCACGACAAGAGTAAAGTATATTAACGAAATTAGTTGCCGGGTGATCTTACATAATTTTAGTATTATTTTAAGACCAAATTCGATCTGGCAACTAATTTCGTTAATATACTTTACTATTGTCGTGACCACACTTTATTAAGTTAAACAATGAGCACCAAATTCCGGATTGAGATATTTTAGAAGCACATAATTTTAGTGTTATTTTAAGACCAAATTTGACCCGGCAACTAATTGCGTTAAGGTAAATGTCCCAGTGGCCGAACGTTTAAGCATAATTTGTCACAAATAATAAAATTTATAATATTAGAAAGATCTTTAATATAAATAATTTGTATTCATTCAAAAACTTAAGATTCTCTTAAACAGAGAAAAATTATTTCAACTCACATATATCAATTATTAATTAAATATTTACATAAATAATGGAGCATGTCAATGTATCAGTGGCCGGACAGCTGAAATAGAGGTTATGGCCTAGTATCCGGACATAACTTGTCCCAGTGTCCGATCAATTAGAAAATTAGCATGTTGATGAAAAATATTGTTCTAAATAGATATTTAATGATAAAAAAACAGTTCTAAATTGATGTTTACATATTTAATAATATTTTATTCTTGTCAATTGCATGATATAAGGCATTTAACTTACAAGTTAAATAAAGTTTTTAACTACAGTGAACAGGCAGATAAAACCGAATAATTAAGCAAAATAATATAATTAGTTAAAGTTTAATTGTTCCTTCATCACCGGAAAGCCTTTTTCACTGACATAAAAAATCCAATTAAGTTCATCATGAGATAATAAAAAATAAATTTTGATTTTGATTATGGTAACAATAGCTATTATGAATTAATAATTAACTTATTTCAAATTTTTACATTTGTAAATGAAGATAAATTGTCGATGAGTAATCTCTAAATCTGAGTCACTAAAAAGTAACTGAAGTGGCATATTTTAGACAGTTTATAGACTGATATCAGTAAATAGTCACTGATGCGTTCAATGACTATTCACTGATATCAGTTTGTTATTTCAGTGACTTTTCACTGATTCAGATTTACACAGTAGTTTTAAAAGGTCTCACATGCAATTAAATGCCTTTAAAAACATGTAATTATTACACTTACCACACAAATTTATTGATTACAACAGGCGACACTGCATGACACTAACCTCTCATTTTTTGACAAGTTGTGTTCGCACATGCGTCCGGCGATTGGGACCACTGATACTTTTAATGCACCAGTATCCGGACACTTAAAAATATCGTTTTAATTGTTATTTTTAGGATAAATTTTGTCAAAACAAGTTTCTAACTAATTTTTAAAATTAGATAATTGATTATTTATTTACATATATAATTAAATATTCAATTTTCATACTATTAGCTACATGCTTACGCTTAACGAATCTGTTAACGATTGGCCATCATTTTGACAAACAACAGACACGTGCTCATTTAATCAAGTTTTTTAAATACAAAAATTTTAAATTAGGTTTACTTCTTTTTCCCCAATTAAATGTTAAATATTATAGTTTTTTTTACAATAATTATTATTTTTATTTTTAATTATTCAAATAAATAGTAAGTGTTTTTTGCCAGTGTGGTCGGACACGGGACATGTCCGGTCACTGGGACGTTTACCTTAAAATATACTTTACTCTTAGCGTGACCACACTTTTTATGGATTTTCTTATGTTAAACACTAAATTCCGGATTATGATATTTTGAAAGCACAAAATTCTGGTATATCGATTTTTTGTTTACGGTATTTTATACTTTTTTTCAGGAGTGGGGGTGCTAGCTTCACGTAAAACCAGCACCCCCACTTTTGCTATTTATTTTCTGCAAACTAGTAGGAGCACAAAATTCGCAATTAGAGCAATAAATTAGCACATAATTAGCACTTAATTATGCCATAGGTCCGAACTTTTTTTTTAGTGGTGGGGGTGCTAGGTACATGGTGATAATGTCAATAGATCTTTTCAAACCCTACAACTTTTGTTTAAAACGTATCTTCAATATTTTTCGAGATATTTGACCGTTCTAGGACTTTAAGAATACCCTATTGCTTATATTGCTGTTATTTACTGATTATATTCAAATGTCGGATCATCCGATAGATGACATTCGATGAGATCTGTTTCTCGTATTTAAAATATGACAAACGGTGGTATAAAAACGGCTATAAATCATGCGTACGGTACAATTTATATCAGATGTATCGGAGTCCACGCTTGTAATAAAATAAAGTGACACACTTGAATTGAATCAATATATTTATAGTTTTATATAATTTTACACTCCTTTATGATTTTTAATTATATCTGATCTGGATACATTTGGTAAATAATTATATCTTGACAAATCAAATTATATCTTGTCAAATCTGGTTATCTGTTCAGATCTAGCCATTGCAGATAGAGACAATTTGCAGATCTGGTCAGATCTGATAATTTAAATATGATCATGTATCTCGGCAGATCTAATTCCTTTTTCCCGGGATATATATTTTTTATCTTTTAGGTGTTTTGTCACCTAATGGTTACTGCAGACCTTTCGATGTCGCTGCAAACGGTTATTCACGTAGCGAAACAATGGGAGTGATATACCTCCAAAAAGCAAAGAATGCGAAAAGAATTTATGCTATATGTCCGCATATTAAGACAAACAGCGATGGTTACAAAGAAGAAGGAATAACATATCCATCGATGCTTGTGCAAAGTACTTTGCTAATGGAATTTTACAATGAGTGCGGAATACCGACATCTTGCATAGATTACATTGAAACACATGGTACCGCCACCAAAGTCGGCGATCCTCAGGAAATCAATGCTATTCATAATGTTTTGTGTAAGAATAGAAAAACTCCATTAATGATCGGCTCTGTAAAATCCAATCTTGGTCATGCTGAAGCAGCAAGTGGTTTTTCTCAGATCGCCAAGGTAAAACAAATGATTTTTGCGTTTATATTTTTATTTTTAAATTTATTTTTATTTTTATCGCGCACACGCACACACACACACACCCACACACACACACACAGAGATCATTTTACGTGAGAATTGTTTGACACTCTATCGCACTCGAACTCAAAGATTTATTAAAATATCGCAAAAACCTTTTATTAAATTCGATTTTATCGTTGGTACATACCCAGATAGCAACGTGTCTGCATTGTTGCTGGCATGTTGTCGACAACATATACATAGTATGTATATTGCTATCAGAATTGTGGCACTGAGTCCGCATTTGTCGGCAAGTTGATGCCTTGACGATATAACAATTTTGTATAGCAACTTGCCAGCAGCTTGTTGGCAAATTATGCTGCGGTCTAAAATCGTCACCCATTTAACTGATTCAAAATTCGAGCTGTTGCTGTCACGTTGCTGTAATAATTCATAGGATCACACAATGCTGTCATATATTGCTAGCAACGCGAAATAAATTTGATGCTGTTTCTTGCCGACAAATTGCTGGCAATACATATATCCAATATGTTGCCTGCGTGTTGCTTCAAATATTAAATTACTCGAAATCAATAGAAGCAATTAAATGTACAAGTTGCCAGCATCATAAGCAATCACAGGTTTGCGCGATTTTGCTCAGACACGCTTTGCTATCTGGATATATATAAATATATATATATATATATATATATATATATATATATATACATATATATATATATATATATATATATATATAATATATTATTTTATATTATAAATATTATATATTATTTTATATATATATAGTGGTCTCTTGCCTTCACTGGCCGGACAGTCTGTCTCTCTTGCCTTCACTGGCTCGAAAGACTACCTGTCTTGCCTTCACTTACTTATTCAAAAATTATTCTGTATTCACTGGAAAAATCATATTTGATCAACCACGTTCAAATTTTGTCACCGCAATAACGTAATCATAATCAAAGATAAAAAAATAATAAAAATTCATAAAAATTTGAAAAAGTAAATAAAAAAAAGCAATTAAAAAATACCGTAATACTCAAATTAATAATAATTAGAACGAGTCTGTATGATTTGAATATCGACGTCATTATTTTTTAGCATTTTTCGAATATACAACCGCCATATTGGGTTTCGTTATATATTCAAATACGACGTCCCAATTGTTAATTTATGATCAACATCTTAAAATGTATCATGATATAAATTTTCATGAAAATTGAACGCAGTTTGTACGTTTTAAAGAACGAAATAGTTATTTTTTAGCATTTCACGGATAATTTGGCCGCCATATTGGTTTTGGACAAACTAAAAATTTATTTTTTTCATGGATTCAATGCTAACTACTAAATAAACACATTAACACATTTTTCTATGACAGTCTATAACTTCCAAGTAACGATTTCATCTGTCGCACCTCGTTACCCGCAGACTTCGGCCACCATATTGGGTTCCGCCATGTTGATTTTTCAAAAAACCACAGCTCAACTAAAACTACATATGTGTAGCTATAAAATGAGCCCCAAAAGAATTTTTTAGGTGACCCCAATTTTTGGACAGGGGGGTGTCTGATTTCACGGAGAATGCCCCATATATATATATATATATATATATAACAAAAATGTTTATAAAAAATTTTTAGTTTATTATGTTAACGAAGTTGGTTTACATCATTTAACCTGCCATGTGATTTTAAGTTACCTGCCAACTTTAAGAACATATAAGGGGTATTCAAATAAGTTAAAGTTTAACGGTTTGACAGGTTATGTCGGGTTAAAGTCGAGTAAAAAGTTAATTAATTAACTTTGGGCGCAATACTCTTTAAGGTTATGCAAAATACATAAGTGACTCATTAACCTATCACATATTAATCTTTGGGTTAAAAGTTTAAAAATTAACTTTTTACTCGACTTTAACCCGACATAACCTGTTAAACCGTTAAACTCTAACTTATTTGAATACCCCTGTAGTTTAAATTTGAATAAAAAACCTTTATGTAATACTCAGTATGAAGAATTGGGCAAGGAAAGCCGTAACAGAATGTTCGTGTTTTATTATTTTTAATAGACAAGTATTATTCCAACCATGGTAAACTGCAAAATCGTCACACTTGAAACACAATTCTGGTTGAAGTAGTAAAATCTCCTCCCACCCCCCCTCCAATTAAATCGAGACCACTGAGGCATGTGGTAATAATAATGGTAAATTGCGATAAATATTACCACATGCCTCAGTGGTCGAATTGATACGACATCTTTCACGAAATAAGGAAAGTTCCAGGTTCAAATCCTAACTGAGGTAATATTATTCGCAATAATTTCTTTATTTATATATACAGTTTTTAGATGTTACGGTTTTCCTTGCCCTATTCTTCATACTGAATTTTAATCCACGAAGCCATTTAAATATTACTTATGTAATACATTTTTGTCTTTATTTTATTTCTTATTTAATATAATTTAGTTTTAATTTGATTTTAGTCTTGCATTTATTACTATAGAGAGAATTATTTACTTTGACATCAAACAGACATCAAAATGACAGTCATAATCACCATCAAGGTGTGGGATGTTTTGCAGTTATGATGCCATCAATGGCTGCATCCAGAAGCACGATCGCTTATTGAGCGCTCATTGAGCGCTCACAGGTAGCCGCTCAGTGAGCATTTTTGATGTGCTGGATATATGCTTACAACAGTTCACTATACGCATTTATATGACGTATAAGTTATAGATATTTATTTGCATTTATAATAG